CCCCAAAAAAAAAAAAAAAAAAAAAAAAAGAAATTGTAGAGAGGTGTGAAAATTGATGAAATAACACCACATTTCCTAAGCTTATTATTTTTTAAACAAATTTATGAATATAATGGCAAAATTTTTTTCAGTTGGACTGAGATTTTTGAAAAGGCCCCTTCTTTGTCTTAATTAAATGAGATAATATATGTGAAAATATCAGCATATGCTCAATAAATTTGTTGAACCTCAACTTTATTGTTTCAAAGTCTGAATTTCAAAATATTTTTCTTGGCGGAATATTTAATTTAGCTGTGTATATTTATTTCCCAGAGCTTGCTGTTTCCCTCTAAATGTTTCTGGTATTTAAAATGGGATCTAGCTCTAATTTCATTGACACCATGTCTCTGTTGATTATATTAATTAGAATTTTCTGACGTTTGCTTCTGTTTCCTATATTATATGTTTCCTCTAGGTTATCTTTTATGTTTAGATATATGTCTTTCTTTCATGTTGGTAGTTTCCCCAATTGGTAATCTATTCTTAAATTCATATTAAAAAGGAGACTCTAAAAATCGGTTTAAAAAGTTTATTTGCGTGTGAGAGTGGCTTTTTGACTGATAGACTTTGTTGCACTGTGATATGACCTTTTAGTTAAGAGATCTCCAAATGTTGATATTTGAAGTTGTTTCTCTGGGAGCTCTCAGGATCTTCTGAGATGATACAATTACTCTTCTGAAATCTGTTAGTCCAGCTCCCAGGTTACTTCAAGATGAGCAAGGGAAGATTTCAATGAGTAGTCTTTGAATTAAAATTCATATATTCCATTTGGTGCCTCACTCTGGCCTTCCATGGTTCCTGCTTTCCCTGAGACCAGAGCTCGCCGGTATAAAGTTTTCTGAGAATACACTATTTGTTTTGGATACATGGACTGAGAGAGGAACCTGGGTATTTAATTATTCATGGCATAGGTTTTTCACCTGTCTTCAGCCTTATTCTTCACTCTCACCCACTGCAGTAACTACTAGACTCTTCCAGGATTCTGCAGGACTAATGGCTTCATTTCTCTTTGGCCTCTCCCTCTTCTGGAACTTAGATTTCAGTTTTTAAATTTTCTCTCTGCTTTCCACCTGCCAAAATGTTAGCATTTTCATCTTCTATTTCTTCTCTTTTGTCCTCTTTCTTGTGAGTTTACAAAGTTTTTTATTCCTTTACTTTTATTTCAGAAAGTTTTAGTGAGGGATTAAACAATTCATCAGGTTACACTAAAGACACATCACAATCTTAGTTGTCCTGTGAGAGTTTAAAATTTTCATTTTTTATGTTGATCAAAATAACATTAAAAGTAATAATGATGATGATGGTGGTGATGCTGATGATGGTGGTGGTGGTGATGATGATGCTGATGGTAATGGTGGTGGTGGTGGTGGTGGTGGTGGTGATGATGATGATGATGATGCTGGTGATGGTAGTGGTTGTGGTGGTGGTGTGATGATGGTGATGGTGGTGATGATGATAATGGTAATGGTGGTGGTGATGAAGATGATGGTGGTGATGGTAATGGTGGTGGTGGTGGTAGTGATGATGATGATGATTATGGTGATGATGATGGTGATGATGATGGTGGTGGTGATGATGATGATAATAATGAGAGCTACAACAATAAGCTCCTTCTACTTTAGCACCCCCATTATTTATTGAACACTTACTGTTTTCAGCCTCCATGTAAAGTTTTGTATATATTCAGCTGTTCATTCTTTCCAATTTCCCTATAATTAAAATCTTTTACAGGTCAAGCAACTTGCATGAGGGAACACAGGTAGCAAGGCAAAGCTAAGATGTGAATATAGGTCTGACTAACTCAAAAGGGTCATTATCTATAACCTGTACCAAACTGTCTTTATTTTTTGGGTAAATTAAGATTTGAAGAAGCCCATTTCAATAAGAGTTGCCAGTGCTGACCATCCTTTTCATCTGGGGACTACCATATTAAAGTTAAGGGCATTTTTACTTACATGATGTTTTGAATTATTTGGCATAATTAATTAATAAATTTATTATTTAACATTTTCTATATTTAGAAAATATTTGAGGCTCACAAAAATTCTGTGAAGTTTTAGTACCTCCATTTGCAGAATAAGAAATGAAGATTCATAGAAGTTAGTAACAGAGATAGTAGGTGGCACAGATTGAAGCGAAAACCTGGTATTCTGATTCCAAGCCATGTATTCTTTTCACTCTAATTTACTACTTCTTATTTTTTTTAATCAAATGTCTCTAGAAATAAAATTAAGACTATTACCTAAATGTTCTTTCAGGTTTTTGCCATTTTCTTCCTACCATAAAAATAAAAAGTACATCCCGACAATGCATTTATCAAGCAAGTATGGTCCTGATGCTTATGGAAGTCAACATTTCCGAGATGAAAATCCTAAGAAATGGATCTGTGACAAGGTGAGTTGATGCAACATTAAAAAGAAAGTAGTGTTTCTTTTAAAAGGCTAAAAATATACACTGATTATAGCAAATATAAATATTCTCATTATGGCTAACACCTTCATGGTTACAAAATCATTTATAGCTATTTTATGTGAAGATAGTGCTGCTTACTATGTCAGTAAGAGATTTAAGTTTTTCGTGGGTTTTTTTTTTTTTTTTTTGATGTTGTATTCTTGTGTTTTATGGTTCAGCTACGCTGTGATCAAATGGCATGGATCATTAGCTTTGGCAAAGCCAGTTAGGGTCAGAGTCTGAATCTGTGGAATAGAGTTAAGCTAATTCTCAGGCATGGAGATCAGTGCTTTCCTGCTTTCTCTCAATCTCTGTGTGTATGTAGATAGGTAGGTAGGTAGGAAGGAAGGAAGGAAGGAAGAGAGGGAGGGAGGGAGGGAGGGAGGAAAGAAAGGAGGAATGAAGGGAGGGAGGGAGGGAGATATATGTGATATCCTATCTATCTATATCTATATCTATATCTATATCTATATATATATATATATATATAGTATAGAAAAGAAAAAAGCAAATAAATATTTATTTTCTGATTCCAGAATTGTAGTTGCTAGCACTTAAATAAAAATTTCTAGATTGAGAAAACACTCACATGTCTTACACTATAGGAGGTAAAGAGGAAAGTTCTTACTATGTGTTTAACCTATTGTCTAGCAGTTAGAAACTCAAACTTATTCATGCTAAAATTATACAGATAAAATGAAGTAGGCAGTGACTTTCTGGAAGGGGGTTAGGGCTCTTGAGTTCCATATACTACCAGCCCTATTTCTATTAATCGTCTGTCAATGAGGATTTATTCATTTACACACAGTCTCCTACCAAAAGGATTTAAGGCACCTTATCAAATGGCAAATACAGCACAGGTCATATTCTAGAAATTTAAATAAGGGGAAACGATCTTAGATGAGAAGAGTGGCTGTGCACACAAAATAAAGGGAGACTGTGAGTATGGTGGGAAGTGACTTAGGAATTGCAGCGTGTGGGTGGCAAAGACAGAGAGAACACAAGTTGCAGAGGCATCCTCACTATTCAAGAGGAAAAGATACATTAGATCCTTAAGGGAAACAAGATCTTTCTCTACCAAAATCTAAGAAAATTTCTTTTTTTAAGGACATTTTAGATATAGGAATGTCAAAGGGAACTCATGCTTGGGAGTAACTTGGATTCTTTGGAAAATGCCTTTTTCTTTTACAGCTACTAAGTCTTTTTAAATGGTCTTCTAAAACACTAAATAGTAATTCCATGGCATAAGAAATACAAGGAGTAGTTCAATCTGGTCCACTGATTGAAAAACCTAAAAGTTGATAACAATATTATTTCATAAAAATCCATGGTAACACTATTCTAGGCATTTGATTTTACCTAATATGCAACCATTCAGAATATAGGTTTAATATGATTTTTAAACTATTTAATTTTGTATTTTGAATGTACGTAATGTGATCTACCTCTCATTTTTCTATTTGACGTAAAGTTTTGTGGGTTTTTTTTTTTTTTTGCTGTTATGCCCTCACCATCCTATTTAATTCAAGGAAATTCTCATTTCTTTAAAATTTAAATGACTTACCTACCTTAGGACATTAAGCTACTTCAGAGTAAGAAAAATCCTTGTGCCAATGTTTCTTTCCTAAAATAATACGGTACTTTTTGGTTTTATGCAACAGGTTCATTCATATATTTTGACATATTCCAAGACTATGCATTTATCTAACTGAAGTAAGCAACTTGCAGAAATTCTCGGATACTCACTAAAAAAAAATGTTTATTTTGTTCTTTTGGAGGAATCATTGTGTGCCTCTGTATACGTTTAGAAAGTACACATACTTGAAAAGTTAATGACAAATAATTGTTCTTGCAGACGCTGAAAACTAAGAGAGAAAGTGTAGG